GGGGGGGGGGGGGGGGGAGTGGGAGGGGACAGAGTTACAAACTTAAAAAGTGATTGATTTGATTCTATCTGCAATTCCAATGTTTTTAAACCCACTACCTTGGATCAATTCAGAAATAATGGCTAAATATGAATCTGAAACTACAAATAAAACCCGCCCCCGGCCCCCACCAATTTGTAGATGTAAAGAAGAATTTAGCCCCATCCCACTGGCCGCAAGCAGACAACCATGGAACCTTCCCCGCGGAAGAGCAAGATGGCAGGATGACCCAAGTGGGCTAACGGCCCCGGGCCGGTTAGACTAAAGGCCCTAGGGTTCCAAGCATTTGTGTCTTCGAGTAACCTAGACATTGAGGATCTATCATCCTTTCTGGCTGGGATGGCAAACAAGCCAGCCATTTAAGATAGGCCACGAGCCACGGGCTTAAAAAAAAGAAGAAGAAATCTCTGCTGTTGCATATTTTTTACAACTGTTTAAAAAGCAGTGAAACAGCTGTTGCTGTCAGTAACTCACACAGAAAACATGCACACGAACACACACTCGGTGGGGGGGCGGGGGGGGCGCTGCCTCTGGATGTGGTATCACACTGGCAGCTTCTCTGTCTGCTCTTGGGTGGGCCTAGGCCTCTGGAGGACCAGGCAGGGAAATGGAGAGCAGGTGTGGAGAGCAATAATCCCTGTTGCTTGGCATTCAGACCATGTAATCTCCTCCCCTTGAGTGTGGCCTGGACCCTGTAACTTGCTTCTAACCGACAGAGTACATAATGGTGATGGACGGACACTCTAGCGATCAGATTACAAATGACGTGACTTCCAACTTGCTGGTTGACCCTCCCCTTGCTGGCTCTGATGAGGCAGGCAGCCCTGATGGCCAGACCCAGCAGCAAGGCACTGAGGAAAGCCTCCAGCTGGCAGCCAGCAAAGAATGGAGTCCCTCCTTCCAACAGTGCCCTTAAGGAACTGAATTTTGCCAACAACCATGCAAGCTCTGAAGTACAGCCTTCCCCAGTCAAGCCTTCGGATGAGACCCCACCCTGCTGAAGCCTTGACTGCGGCCTTGGGAGAGGAGCAGCCTGAAGGAGCGGATGCAGTAAACTGGGTCAGGTTCTGACCACAGAAATTGTGCAATAGCGAGCGTGTGGTGTTGTAAGCTGCTGACTTTGGGAGTGAATTGTTATGCAGCAGTAGTTGCCAAATGCAGCAGGCAGCCCAAAGCCTGGGTTGGCGTCCTGATGCAGGCTGCCGCCACAGTATCCGCCACGAGAGAGTCAAGGCCTCACTTCTCCACAAGAGTGCTCAGCCCCCAGGGGGTAGGCACTGGGTGGACCTTCATCTTTCACAGATAAGTGCATGCTCGGCACCCAGCACCACGCCCGACGTGTGTTCAGGGTTCAGTAATGTCCATTTGAGCAACTATTTCTGTTGAGGACGGGAAAGGCAAGAAATCTTCCCTTTTAGTTCTCACAATAAGCAGAGTATTGGGGGGGAGAGGGGAGGGGTGAGGAGAAAAGAGGGGATGGGAGGAGAGAAGAGGAGAGGAAGAGGAGGGAGAGAGGGGAGGGGAGAGGAGGAGAGGGGAGAGGAGGGGAGGGGAGAGGAGAAGGGAGAAAACAAAACCTGGAGACTACTTGGAATGGCCATCTTGTGGCCCTTGAGCCTTCCGAGGGCAGGCTGACCTCTGGCTGGGTCTAGTGGCCAAGCTGGGCAGGTCCTATTCTGGCTCAGCCATCGAAGCTGAGCAGCACCATGACCCTCCCCACTGAAAGGCTCGCCTAGTGGCACTTGTGTCCTCAGAGTTAGAATCACAAACTACAGGAAGAAGGGGCCACATTTAGGAAAGTCGACGCCACTCTCTACCCAGAGAACCGTGGCCTTCACCTTTGCTCTCACGGTTCCGCCTGCTCACAGTGCTTCCTCCTCTCACCCACGTTCCGTCTCTGTTGACTCGGCAAACTCTCGCTCATCTTTCAAAACCCAGCCTGGCTTCAGCTCCCCCTCGTAACTTTCCTAAAACTCCCTGCCAGGCTCCCATTCCCTCTTCTGTGTCACTTCTCACCCTCCCTCCTGCTCCGGCAGAAGCCACAGGCCTTAACAACCACAGCCACGCCGGTCTCACAACCAGCCGTGGGGCCCACGCCCAGGGCCCAGAGCAGGGTGGGCACACAGTGAACAGACCAGACCCCCTCCGCCTGGGTCCCCACCCCTCCGCGCCCAGGGAGTGGCACAACGTCGCAGCTTTGTGGCCCCTGCGGCTGAGACACAGTGATCTTCCTCAGAAGGAGGAACTAGGGAGCACGACAGGAAGACAGTCAGCGAACAGGAAGCATACTCTTGAGAGAATGTTCCAGCCTTGGGAGCTGCGGCCGGGGACTGTCTGGGGGAGGAGGGCAGAGCAGCTGTGAAAACACCTCAGTGGGCGGCGAGGGGTCACTCAGTCACGGAGCCTTTCCTCCCCGGGCTGACAGTTACATAATCATGTCCACACGAGCGCATAACTGGTGTGTGTCAACTGCTCTTGGGCTGGGGGGGGGGGGGGGGGGGGCGGGGGGAGGCAGTCTGCTCCCCGAGGCTCCCAAGTGTGGGAACCAGCAGGTAGGATGTGGCGAGCTGCTCCGAGGTCAGCGGGTGCGTCGGAACAAGACGGGGTGGGTTCCTGAGGAGAAGGACAGAACCGGGCTGGAAGCATCCAGGCACAAAGATGTACCACATGGTGCAGCACCGGGAGGGCTGCCCCGGCACAGACGCGGCGTGGGGGGACAGTCCTGCTCTCCTCTGACCGGGCCACAGTCAGAGCCGCAGGCGCCGTTTCAAGATCACCACCAAAGGGACAGAGACAAATTCAGGGAGTGACCAGGGCAGGACTTTAAGGCGGGTCCTTCTGGAGGCAACGGTGTGAAACAAAAGCAGCAAGTGTAAGACTGGATGTGCATACGGCTGTGTACACACACGTACACACTCATACACACACACACAACACTCATCTGCACAGGTAATCTGGTGGGAGACTAAAGCTGCTTTTTAATACCAGTTTTCCCTTCCAGCTTTCCAGCGAATTTCCTAAAATTTCCATAACAAACCCATCTTCCTGCCATCACTGGTGAGGATATGAGGCCAGAACACACACCATCCAAGGAAGGTATTGGGGCATATTCGTTTCTACCACAATCTGTCGGCCTATAACCACGGGATTTTAGTCTTCGGGGTTTCTGGAAGCTCCAAACCTGAAATCCTGGCTTCAGCAATGTGGGGTCCCCAGGGGGATCTGAGTGAGGGGCTGTCCCAGCCCATTGCCAGCTGCTGGTGGAGGTGGTCAGTCCTAGGCGTGCCCGGGCCTGCGGACACACCACTCTGCCTCTGCCATCATGAGGTGTCTGTCCTCTCTGCGTGTCCCTGTGTCCAAATTTCCCTTCTCAGAGGGGGATCAGCCAGGGGATCAGGGGCCACCCTGGTCCAGTATAACCTCACGTTAACTTGAGTCCATCCGCAAAGACTCTGTTTTCCAACAAGGTCGCCCTCACACGTACGGCGGCCATTAGAACTCCAGCACAGTTTTGTGAAAGGCGTAACCCATGACAAGAGACAGGCAGCCCAAAGACAAGCAAGACACAGCGGCTCTGGCTGCTGTCGTCCGCATCTGGCAGGCACTGCCATCTGGGACAATGACACTTGGTCTATGTGACTCTATGAGGAAGAAGTGGATCCGAAGTGTGGATGCTCCCAAAAGGCAGATTTGGTTTCACAACAGGAAGAATATTCTCGCAGAGTTGGACTGGTCATCCTGGGTCCTGCAGACCCCACTCCAGGGTCCTGGACCAGCCTGCGGGTCCCTCATCTCTGATGTGCTCATACCGTGGAGACGGCTGGGCTAAGTGGCTTTCAGGTCCTGGAAGACCCGAGCCGCTGCCGTCAATGCAGAATCCTTGTGACGGGAGCATCGCAGTGCTGGCCCAGCCACGCCCACGCCCTCCAGGGTCATGCCCGCTGTGCCTCAGTCATACCGGGCAGCCCCTGCTTTTTACAACCAGGCAGCCCTGCCCCTCATTTTCCCTCCTTCTGGTCTTTCGAGGAAAGCCAGAGACCGAAGGCTTGGAGCTCCAGGGGTGAAGGCGGCGCTCGGGTTGTGACACAAGGAATCGCAGAAGCTAAACCGCCCGGCAAACCCTGACGCCCCTGATCCCCAGGGGGTTTCACGTGCCCTGACAGGACCCGAGGAAGGTCCCACGTCCCCAGGCCAGAGGCTGAGGGCCCAAAGACTGCGGTCAGAATGTCTGAAAAAACACTCCCCAATTTGTTTAGACCCACCGAAGGCTGCACCAAGAATAACATTTACATAAGAAATAGCAGTAACATTGCAAGTTAAGCTTGTTTATTTAAAAAAAAAAAAGGCAAGATCTTGCTCATGATGAGAAAGTCATTCTTTAAAACTGCCTTTTCTCCCCCAAATGCAAGAGATCCAGGCTCACCTCTCCACGGGGTCCCTGAGCATGACGATCAGCTTGGCGTCTGGCTGGAAGGCGTGGATGAAGTCCTGGGTCAGGAAGGGCGGCTCCCCATCTGTGCTGTTGTCGTAGAAGAAGCTCCAGGCATTGTTGTCCCACATAGTGGAGGCACTGGCCTCCCCTAGGAACAGGGAAGGTGGCAGCTGAGCAGGGCTGGGTTCTGCGCTCCCGCAGGGCAGCCTGCCGTCGGGGCCACACGTGGCTCAGATGCCTTCCCCCTCACCAGCCACAACGGCTGAGCTGGGCCACCGTCGCCGGCACAGGGGGCTCCAGGAAGAGGCGGCTGACCATGACCTCCCCTGTCATGGTGACTTCCCCCGCCACCCCACCCCACCCCCTCCCCAAAGGCCTCCATCTGGAAATCAAGGTGACCCCCCGAACCGCTGAGCACCTGCTTTCTTCCTGCTCCTCTCCGGGATGTGCCCAAAAAAACCCTCTACCAGCATCTGGCCACCCAATTTCATGATGTTTGACTTTGTGCACAGTGCTGTGGCATTTTAAGGGCCTGCCAAGAATGTACTAGATGGTTCCCTTCGAAAAGTGCCAGGGATGAAGGAGCAGCTTAAGGAAGCTAACTCCCTTCAGGAAATTAGATGCAATCAGCATCGGATTTTGTGTGAAACCCCAGCGGTGGTCCGGGGCACACTCTGTCTGAGACCAAATGAGAGGGAGGCTTGGCGGGAAGGCTCGTGGGACCTCGGTCTCAGGTGCTGTGTCCAACGGGCTCGCCCACCCCATCGCCCCACACGCAGCTGGCATTCACTCAGTACTGACTGGATGGATGGACGGTTGGTCTGGCCCTGATTTTATGACAGTCTGTGTGAACAAAGGAGGAAATGTTAAACACACATAAACCGGGGAGGGGCCAAGATACACACATTTCAACATCTCCCTCTCAGGCACTTGAACTGATTCCCTGACTTTTCTTTTCTTTTTAGGAGAATCTTCAGAGACTTAGAAAGAAAGGCAAGTCGATCAATTACACACAAATTCAATTTCCTGACATTTTACATGGGTATTTGATACATCTCAAAGTCACTTAGTCCAGGAAAATCTGAGCCCAAACACTAGTTTCTTTGATCAGGGATGAGTGCATCACAATAACGCAGGGGGTTGGCAAGGCCCTGTCCTTTCTGTAGAATGTTCAGATGTTCAGGGGAGCATTTCCGTTCTGGCTTTTCCTTTCTTGTTTTCTAAGATCAGACCGTAGAACACGTGAAAGACATGCCCATCAGAAGCCCTTTGAACATTCCACTCACAATGAATATGAGAATATTACAACAAGGAAAGTATCTAAAACTAAACTGGCACAGATTCGGCCAGAACTCATGAATATACTAGTTCTACAATCAGAGAAACATCTGTTCCTCCACCCGTCCTTCCGTCCATCCATCTCCATTCATTTCACATCCATCTATCCAGAAGACATTCATCTAGTGTCTAAAAGGTGCCTGGCAGTGTGCTTGGCATTGGGGATCGAGAAAGGAAACGGGGCAATCCTTCTCTTCTCTTCCCTGACCTTACTATCTAGGAGAAGACCCACAACTCCATCAGCAATCAGATGCCCAGCTGAGCACTTTGTCAGGGCAGATCAGGGGGTCCTGACAGCAGAGGCAGGAGCCTTTCAGTGCGTCTGGGGCCCCACCCCCGAGAACCCCGTCATTGGAATCCCTTGCGACTCTGGTCATTAGCGCAGATCACTGAGCAAAGGCTCTCTCTGACCCCTGACCCGTGAGCCAAGATGAAGCAAGACCCTCATGCTCTACTGAAGATCTAACCCGAGACTCTAAAGCAGAGCTGAATCACGTTTCAGGGCTGGGAGGAGCCCGAATGGATCTGGTCCAACGAGCCCATTATACAGATGTGCAGACTGAAGGCCAGGAACACAAAGATTGACTTATCACGTGGCACAGAGCTGGCCAGTGGCACAGGCCGGGCTTCACTGCCAGCTGTCCACCTGCCTCTGCACCACCAGGCAACTCATCAAATTCTGTGCTAGGTACGCATCAGAGCAGCAAAATTTTTCCTTAATTTTCCCTTTTAAATCTGGAAGTAAGTCAAATTAGAAAACCAAACTCAGGCTTTCCTTTTTCATTCATTATCTTAGGCTCTATTTCTTAGCCCTAGGATGTATATTTTTAGCTCCTTCATAGGAACAGATTCTCCCAGAGGCACACGGTGTGGGAGTCACAATCAAATATTAATTAGAGTTGTGATGTGAGGTGTGTAGACCCAAGGCTGCTAGAAAATAGCGAGTAGCCAATTCACACTGGGGGGGTGGGGGGGGTGTATGATCTCACCCGGCTCTCAGAACTTGATGTGAGTTAAAAAAAAAAAAAAAAAAAAAACAATAAATAAATCAGAGCTTAGACATGTAAACCTATCTCCTTAGACAGGAGAAAGCAAAAGGCCATATTTCAAATGGTTGACTGCAATTCCTCTGAGCTGCTAAAAAGATTCATCGAATTTGAGAATCAAAATACATTTAGGAAAATTTCAAAAACCAAACAAACCGATTGCTGCCTTAGGTAACCAATTTAAGCAAAATATGTGATTAGATTTCTCTCTTTCAAAAGGTATAAGTGGATATATGTCTTTTTCTAAGCTGAATTCAATACAAAGAGTGGATAGATAGGTTTTTTTATAAACCGTTCTTGTGAATTTAAAAAAAAATGATTATTAATCAAACCACCTCATTCTGCACATCTAAAGGCATTACGTGGATAAGGGCTAGGCTTTTTCAACAGCAATTAGCCACCAACAATGTGTTTGAGCTGCATCTATTTCAGGAGAGATTGCTTCAATCTTTCGCCAGGCCCCAGTGGCCCGGGAATTACAAAAGCCACAATATTACATCAATGACTAATTGGTTATCTGCAATCACGATGGCCCATCCAAACTCAGACCAGTATGCCATGAGACCAAGCCTGTGCACTTAATTTAAATAAAAACAATGAAATGTCGACTTCTTTAAGCAACCATTTCTGGTGCAGTCTAGTCTCACAGAACTAATTCTGCTTTACAGAAATGGCGCAAGTGATGTAAACATCTTATGGAGGGGTAAGAAACGACGGCCAGGTTGGGAAGGGCACCTTCAACAGAGGCGGCAAGCGTCAGGCAAATGTTCCATGGGCGCAGCAAAAGCTGGACCGATGTCAGGGAAGAAGGGGCCCGGTGGGAATGGGGGCCCAGACCCAGGGCGTGAGTGGCCCCAACGGGAGCTGCCCAGAAGCCTCACCGATGATGATCCCCGTCATCCTGCTCTGTTCCTTTGCAGAGCTGGCCTGCAGTCCTTGATGAATCTGGTGTGCAGCCAGGTCAAAGAGGTCCAGGTAATCTTCCACGGGGTAGCGGTCCCGAAGCCCATCTCTCAGGCGGACAATTCCTACGAGAACCGAGAAGTAGAGTTACTGAGAACTAGGTTGCAAAGCGCTAGATGGTGGCCTCCGAGGGCATAACAGAGAGGGATCTAAAGGGCCGGAGGCCCACCAGCTGCAGGCGGTGGCTCACAGGAAAGACGTGTGTAAATCGGCTGTCTTCTTTAATCCGTGCACGTTTTGGGGAGTGGGAGGCCACCACCGAGCTACAAGTGGCGGCTTCAAGGACGGTGCACCTGCTCAAGACCTATAAAAGCATCTGTTTGGAGGACCAGAGGCTTAGGGGCTGGTTACCATGTGCACCAGATGGGCCCTGACGTGTCTGAACAGCAACGGCATCCAGAAGGCACACATTGTAGCAAACAGAAAAGGGTGTTTTTATCTGAGCTTCTATTTCTGGCCTGTTTGATCCAGCAGCTTGTCTGTCTGCCTAAATGGGGCGGAAAGGATAGTCCCGGGACAAACCCTTGGTTGAACTCACCAGTCATTCCGGCATTGACCGACGCAGCCTAAACGTGCCCCTGGCCTTCAAAGTGGGTGAATGTCACGTGCGAATATATTTACAACCCACTGTCCCAAACCACAACTACCAAGGTTAACGGAAAGCAGAGAGAAAATATCCATGTGCAAAATAGCAAGAGGGTCAAGGAGACCCTGGGGAGCGGATTCCAGAAGCATGTTCTTGTGCTTCCCTCTTCCCTGCCAGGGGGAAGCTGGTTTTCATTAGGGTGAATGGTGAGCTGTGCAGGGAGATCACCCCACGTGAAACCGTGGCTCCCACAGCCGCTGCTGCCAAACCACAAAAGACACATTTACACTTCTGTTCGTTCACTCCGGGAAGAACATCAAAAGGACTAAGTCAATTTGTCAGGAAACAAACAGGACTTGGTCTAAACTTGGGTTCTACTAAGGAAAACTTTAAAGATTCCCTTCTAAGCCACCTGGGTCCTTTGCATGAAACACGTCGAGTCCCACCCCAGCTTTGACATTTGTCAAAGTGAGCAAACATCTCCTGGCAGAAGGGAAAAAGCTGAGCGGAAACAGTGACATCAGGGCTGCAGGGTGGCTCGGGCTGGGTGGAGGCGGTGTCCACAGTCACCCCGGTGAGACAGGGGTGCTGTGAGCAAGGTCACCCAGAATTATGTGGATGTGATTTTCATTCTGAACTTGGGGCAGATGGACAGAGCAGGTCAGAGAAAGTTAGGCCCAAAGCAGCTCGATGACGTGTTCACAGCCCTGGGAGAAGCCAGCCAGAAACTCAAACCTCCCTCTGCGTGGCAGCCTTTGTACAGTGTCCCCTGGGCAGGGGGGGTGGGGGGGGAGGGTCAGGCAGGAAGAGCTGCAGAGCTGGGGGCAGACAGCCCCAGAAATACGTCCACCTGGCTCTTAACCTCTCACCGCTGACAGGTGTACCAAAGCTCTTCAGAACAAGAGCGGCTGCTGATTCTGCACCCTTGCCCTGCATACAGCCGGCACTCAATAAATGCTCCCTCAGTGGCTGGGAGCCGGGTTCCAGCCCCACTGGATGTTTGCGTGGGGCGCCCTGGACTAGCCAACTGTCTGCTCCCTGCATCTCGGGGTGTTTCCTCACCTCCTGCCCAGCCTCCCTGGCAGCGCCTGGCACCACCACCGGAAGTGGGATATGAGCCGGAAACCACTGAAGCGGGAAGGCGGGAGACGGGGACAGGAAGAAGAAAGCGCAGACGCAGGCCCCGCCCCTCGCGGCGGCACCTGGCACTCACCAAAGCGCTTCCGGGTCCACCAGTGGGGCTCCTTGATGGCGGAGAACTTGACTTCCGGGTGCAGCCGGAGGCGGTCGTAGAGGTCGGTGGTGCCGCACTTGGGCTGCCCGATGATGTAGAAGCGCGGCAGGCAGCGGAGGCGGAAGTGCTTCCCGCTGGCGTGGGACAAATGGCCCCAGAAGGCCTTGCGCAGGGCGTCGAAGGTGGAGCGGAAGCGCTTGGAGTAGAGCACGTAGGAGTTGGTCAGGTAGGGGTCGGTGGTGTTCCTACCCGTGAACTCCTCGTACCAACAGGGGCTCTTGCTATTTGGAAGAAATTTATTGGGGATTACTGAAAACATCTGCAACAAAAGAGAAAAAAAGGGAGAGACACGCTGAGGGGGGGAAATTAGCAAGAACGTGTTCTAGCCGCGATGCGATCCTGCCCTAATCCTCACGACAGTGTTTGCGTCTGAACTCTTAAATGATAATGGCTAAGCAATAAAATAACGCAAAACTTGGTAAATAGCCAAGGCCGTGTTTTTCCTTAGACCAAAATAAAACTAAAATTTGGAGAGAATGAAGATAAAAGCTTACTCAAAATCCGTTCTACCATGATTTATCTTTCTTTCTCGCACACGCGCGCACAGCAATCTAATTAAATTTCACAGTTGGACTCTTTTTACTAGTTGTGTATTTAAATGACCATTACAGACAAAAATACTAATTAGGACACAATCGAAACAGGATGCTGGTGATCTACAAAAGCAACTTGAACCACCATGGCTGCGGTTCAAGTCCTGCAATTAAATTATGAGAAGTGGTGGCTCTTCCTGTATTTCTAGCTTCGCCACTCAGTACTTTGAATTTCCTCCTTGGCATAAACATCGTGAACAGACAGCCCTCTCCCAGCGCACTCTGATCTGTGAGGCTGTCAAATTATCCTTGTTACACATGAGACATTTTTTCCGTCATTTTTCTTCCCGGGTTCCCAGAGATGGCCACAGAAGAGGAAGCATCTATTTTTAAAAATCAATCAGTGGAGATTAGCACAAGGCTACTCACATGCAATTCTTGCTTCTTGAGATCTTCTATGTCGGGGAGCTGCCTGGTGGTGAACTCTATCCTGGTCGTGATGCTGTTGATAATTAATTTAATGCTTGGGTAGTCTTTCACGTATGAAATATTATTTACAGGGGGCTGGTGATGATGCTCTTTTGTGTCACTTGGGCTTTCACCATCCATCAAGCTGGGATTGCTGGGGAAGGCTCCGTAATGGAAAGGCGAGGAGATGAGAAGCTCTTGGTGAGCTCCAGAAAGGATGTAAGAGGCCATCACCAAGGTCATGATCATCACTCCGAAAACGAGGCTACATCGCTTCCCCTTCTTGAAGCGCAGAAACCTGCCCCAGCTCTCATTCCCCTCAGCCCTCACCTCGAGAACAGCAAGCAAGTTCATCTGCTTACCGTCCACACGAAGCACAATTTTATTCTCTCCTTTGCACGCAGGGCACTCCGGGTGACCGTCAAGGGGGCCTCCTCCGCAGCCAACCTGCTGTTTTTGCTCGTTGTGGGGCAAAAACTGTATGCAGCAATTGATGCAGTGCCTCATGGTAATGCCCTTGGACTTCTGGCCCACAGAGCCATGGGAGAGCCCCCGCGGAGCCCAGATGCGTGCAAGTGGTGCTGGAAAACTTTCAAGGATGTCTTTTGATTACATAAGATGGTTTTAAGGCACAAGCAATGGAAACAAATATAAAAACGAGCAGGCACCAAAGCTCTAGACAATGAGGAAGTGCCTTCTTTGGTTCAACTCTGAAAGACAACAAAAAGAAGTGATCTCCAATTGTCATGTTCTGTAACAGCCACTGAAGCCTTAGAAAAAGCCACAAGTTTGGGAACAATGCTGCCTGTCCTTCAGGTTTTTCCCATGGCACACGATGAAGTGGAAGAATTCTTGCAGGAGAACACAGAAACATCCAAGAGATTAGAAGGGATCATGGTCTCAGTGAGGGACAGGTTGGCATTCCATCCTCGGGGACATGCATGAAGACTTCTTCTACATCTCGTGTTCCTTTAAAATGTTTCCTCTTTGGGGGAATCCAAGTCTTTAAAAGGTCAGACTACCTAAACAACAGAGAAAAGAGGTTTGAGTACATTGTGTGAGGATCGCAATAACCCTGAGACCACCTTCCAAGGAGAGAAGTTCTTTTCCCACTCCTGTGTTTCAGCCAGTCTGCTCGGTCACAAGCAAGGCACAAAAAAATCATGCAGGATAAAAGGAGACGTTTCAGGTCCTTAGGGTTTGGCTTTGGAGTTCAAGCTCACCACCAAATGTGACTCCAGCACTGGCACCACATCAGACACATCATATTTTGCACAGCTCATATACCCTCTAGTGTCCCAGACATGCCACAGCCAAGTACCGGATCCTAGAATCTCAGGAGTTCATAGTCATGCTCAGAGGCATGCACAGTCAGTGACTGTTTGGAAGTATCAGTGCTTTAAAACCAACAAAATACCCAAGAAGCAGCCTGGTTAGGAGAGGAGTGTGCGGAGATCATGTTTTTTTCTCTCCTGATAGCACCGAGCGCCTCTTACCGAGATCTAACCTTTATTATCAGTTTAGGAGGCAAAAGTTAATGACAATTTGGAAACACTGAAATGATTCTCTCCTTCAGTAGAGTGTATCATATAAAAAACCATTTGACTTTAAGTTATTAAGCAATTAAATCCAACGTGCGGTATTCTCCCGAGGAACATAACACTCAGACCCTGAAATCATTTTTCACTTTCATCATCCGGGGGAAAACATGATTCTTAAAAATCCATTAACAGAATTCTGTGGTTATAAAATAGATTGTTGCCCGAATGACACTTCTTTGTAGATGCTGTAAAAAGAGCAAAGGAGGAGGCTTAGTTTCCAATAATAGTAGACCACCACTAACTACCTGTGTGGCCTCAAGTAAGCCACAGAACCTCTCTGAGCTTGGCCTTCTTCCCTAGTAAAACTGGGGTAAGAGTATCTCCCTTATAAGACTGTTGTTGCAAGTACTAAGTTAGTTAATGCACACAAAGAGTTTGCGTAATGCCTACACATAGTTGGCCTCCCTGGAAGGTAGGCAACATTAATAACTGTCATCGATGACCATTACTATTAGGACTTTTAATTGTCAGTGAATGCCAAGAACACTTGAAGTGGAATCAAAGATGGGAAATCCTATCATATTAATTTTCCTTAGCTCTTGAGAATTACCCCAAGGGCAGTGGACTCATCTCTGACTTGGCACAGCACGCGCGCATGCGGGCACGCGCGCGCGTGCACACACACACACACACATACACACACTCACAGCCCTCAAACAATCCTACCTTTCAAGGTGGGATTGACTAACCCTCCATTAAAACTTCCTTGTATTGGCTGGAAGGCTGAACAATGAGAACTCACAGGCAGAACCCTTCCCTTCCCTTGAAACAAAAGGCCCATGCTGTATCAAAGTACGTTGACCAAGAAATAGCCAAGCAACTTTTCCTAAAATGTCTTCCACTCAATGTTCTGCACATTGTTGGTACATGTTCTGTGCTTACATTACTCAGAGAAAAGGTAAGGTGGATAAAAATCAGACTTCCTTACAACAGGACTTTCTGAAGCCTTTAATACTCTATGAAGCCCTGCAAGAGCCTATCCACAGGAGAGGGATATAACACACAAAATTTCCAACACAAAATTGGCCATGGAATTCCCACTAATGTCGCAAGGAACCAGCTTGAGAAATGCTAGTTAGTAAAGGCTGAGATCGGGGTCAGGGCAGTTCTGGGAAGAGCAGAGGAGTGGAGGGAGGAGGGAGGGTGGAAGCAAACTGCTCTGCTCCCCTCTCATCCCTGAGAGCAGTTGGAGGGACGTGACAGGAGCCTCCAGGCTCAAATCTCTGCCTCCCACTTGCTTAACCACCCTTGACCCATCACTTGGTACAAACAATTCTTCCAAACCAAAGAAACAAAAGGGCAAGATCCCCTACTTAGAAATCCCATCACTAAGCCAAGAAAACATTTTTTTACACGTTGAAGACAAGGACAAGCAGGGTTAAGAGAAGGCTCCCACCAGGATCCCAGCGGGGAGTGTGTTCGCACCCTTCTGTGTCTCTGGCTGCAGAAAGTCTAATTAGGATTTTCTTTAAAAAAATATGGCCTTTGAAGCTCTAAGACAAGAATGTACAAAATCTGGACCCAACAGAATGGGCAAATATGTTCTTAAACACAAAGGTTTCTTTTTTTTTTTTTAATATTTTATTTCTAGGAGAGAGAGAGAGAGAGAGAGCGTGAGCAGGGGAGGGTCAGAGAGAGAGGGAGTCACAGACTGAAAGAGGCACCAGGCTCTGAGCTGGCAGTCAGCACAGAGCCCGACGCGGGGCTCGAACCCACGAACCGTGAGATCATGACCTAAGCGAAAGTCGGACGCTTAACCGACTAAGCCACCCAGGCGCCCCAACAAAGGTTTCTTATTACAAGCAAAGTAAGTAAACAGATCCGGGTAGTTGGGGAAGCTGACGGTCTCAACAGGGATGCTCTGGGACACGGTGAGCCCAAGCATGTGTACCCCGGGGCAGGCTGCCCCCTCCGGCCAGACCGTTCCTCCGGTCTTGCACCTTAAACATGAAACAGGGAGCAGAGAACTAGAGCGACAACTCATTCACCTGTTTGTTCTTTTGTTCCCTGGACCCCTTCTGAAGGGTAACTGTGTACCAGGCATTGCCAAAGATGCCACCGAAGTGTGGAGACCTAAAGCCAATACAAGATGGCAGCGGGGGTGGGGGGGGTGGCGACAGAATAAAAAATACACGTGTGGTCTTTGACGGCCCCAGGTCCTGGCATACAGCTTCTAAAACCCCTGGGATTTCCGAAGAGGCGACTGAAGCACCTTTTACCCTTCAGCCACACCTGAGCTTATGCTAATGAGGTGACTTTGGTGGAGCCCCGGAGTGCTTCAGGATGGGACTGGTCACCGGAAAGCCTGAGCCTTGATTAGCCAGTTGGGAGGTTGGAACTTCTCGACCTCCAGGGAGGAGACGGAGTTAATTATCAATGGCCAGTGATTTATTAATCACGCCTATGAAATGCAACCTCCATAAAAGCCCCGAAATGTCAGGATTCAGGGAGCTTTCTAGTTGGTGGAGATGCTGGGAGGGTGGCCCGTCCAGAGAGGAAGGCAGGGAGGCTCCACGCCCCTCCCCGCACACCTTGGCCCCTGCATGTGTTTCGTGTGGCTATAACAAACTGGTAATCATAAGTAAGGTGCTTTCCTGAATTCTCTGCATTGTTCCAGTCACTTATCAGAACTAAGGAGGGCCCTGTGGGAACCTCTGAATTTGTAGCCAGGCCAAACAGAAGTTGGGTAGCCTAGGGACCCAGTACTTGCAACTGGCATCTGAAGTGGGGGCAGTCTTGGGGGATGGAGCCCTTAACTTGTGGGGTCCCTGTGAGCTCCAGTGAGTTCTTACTGGAACTGAATTGAATTCAAGGGCACCCAGCTAGGGCCTGGGGAGTTGGAATTGTTAGCAAGGGGGAAGGATCAGAAGACCCTCTTTGAGAAAAAACACAAAGCTATCTTACGTTTACAAGTTTTACCAAAACATATGGCTAGCAGGTAGTACGCAAAACACCCCTTGATGATGTTGATTAAAAACAAGCCACATGACTATATACCATACATGGCTGGGGCCTTTGGATGTGCAGGGCCGGCAGCTTTGAGGCTTGCAGACCAAGCCTTGTGCAGACAGGAGTGGTACAGACGTGACACCAACAAGGAGACCCCTCCCCACCTGGCGGTTATATCCCACCAGGAGTTAGAGGCTACTGGGTAGCAGACAAGACATGTGACAAACCACAGTGCTAAGAGCTCTGAAGAAAATACAAAAGGAGAATTCAATGACACCATTAGAACAGGTGTTCACAGTGCAGCACGAGGGCCACATCATTCTTTGTCGTCAGGGGCTTTCCTGTGCGCGGACCTCTACCCCCCAGGTCAGACTTGCAGCCTGATCGTAAAGGGGTCCAGCAGCAGCTGGACCAGGGAAGACCAGTCGGGAGGGGTCACCTGAATCCCGAGAAGGAAGCCAGCCACGTGGGATCGGGAGACGAAAAGACCCTGTGAAGGTGAGAAGCTGGGGGTCAAAGCGCAGGGGGACAACGAGGAGGCTAGACCCCTGGGCTCTGGGGCAGGTGAGGGGTAGAAGCCAGATGGGAGAGGAGGCGGGAGCCAGACTCCCATAGGACCTAAAAGGCAGGAGTCAGGGCTGAGACTCATCCACATGCAGAAAAAAGGATGCACACTATGTATTCCTTCCAAAGGATCTTTACAATATGTATACTATTAACTAACATAACTCAGTGAAGAAAAATCGAATCACTGACACCGTGTTGAAAGGAAAATGGATTGCTATTGTGTTCCCGAATTGGCCCTTTCCGCACGCCACCGATTATCCTGAGAACCGTCGTGCAGAAACCTAACACTCAGGTTGTTCTTCCTTAAAAAATAAGCAATGTGTGTCCCTTGCACTTGAGCTGTCTGGAATGTCCACGTTTTGGTGCCAGTCGCCTCAGATTAATCAGGACCCTTGGCGCTCCATGCAGGTACTAAACCAAAGCACCCCGGTATGCATTTCAGGGAGACTGCTTCCCAGCCTGGGCTCACTGCTGTGCCCTGTGGATGCAGACTGTAAATGTGGGAACCAGCACCACCATGAGACATCAGATGACTGGTCCCAAAATAGAAAGTGTTCAATTACCCAGCTCTGGCTAGGATGCCCCCTATTAACCCATGTACCCCAAGCATCATTAGCAAGCCATTTATAACAAAATTGTAATTGAGAGACCCAGAAACACCACTTTAGAGTAAGTAATTGAATGCCCCCTCAGTGTAAGATCGATAAAGGGCATCCAATTTCACCCTAGGAAAAACTTATTAAATTATGGTGGCTATGAGCTGATATAGCAGAAGAAAGATGTACAAAACTTCAAAAGAAATCTGGATGGAGTTAAATAAATAGCTTCATTTAGGTAGAACATTTACATCTGCCCTCTGGGAGAAGAGAAGGGAAAAAAATAGCTAACTACATTATTTTCTTTGA